AATTAATGTTTTAAATTTATTTATCAAATTTATCGAATATTTAATAAGAATTATTTAAAATGAGTGCAGGAAGTTGGGAAAAAATACGACAATTCAGTATATAAAGAATGCAGGACATCTAGTTCAATTGGAGCGACCATGCACTTATAATCATTATCTCAAGAAATTCCTTTCATCTTCGTGAAGTGATTCTTCATGCGAACATGAACATGTGACAAAATTTAAGTTATATAGGGTAGTAATGTAATGAATCTATGTTAATTATTTTTGTGATGTTAATCGGTATTATTACCTAGAAAATAATTGTTATCTAGGTAATTGTTGGTGTCTTTAATTATTCCTTAAAGTAATGTTGTTTTGTTCAATCGAATGTATTAATGTAAATTTAATTTGTTAATATCAAAAATCTTGATTGAGTTTTAATATAATGATGTTCTTTAATATCGCATATTAGAGTTACTTAACCACTTGAGTTAGTTTTCATGATTTTTACTCAAATTGACAAATGGTAATGAATAAATATCGACCGATTCCTATTTTGTCCCTAGAATTTGTTTGAACCACTAGTATAGCATGGGTGTATATTTTCAAATTGAAAAATATATTGGAACTTAATTAATGTGATCATTGATCAAAGTGTTGATGCTATGAATGATAAAGGCATGGATCGAGTTGAATCTTAAAATGGAATATTATTATTAGAAAAAAAAAAAGAATTACGCGCCTTCAATTTTTTTGCTTTTCATTTTTTGCCATGTCATTTATTAAGGTGATATTAAATTCATACGAAATGAAATTAGAGGGTAAATAAACGTCCATGTAGTTTAAGTGTTAAAATAAGTTATGATGTCAAGTTCGGGTTTTTTTTTTTTTTAGAAAACACATAAAAAAACCAACTTTAAGAAAAGGAAAAGTTGTTGTTTTACTTGTGGAAAACCAGGTCATCATGCAGCTCAATGTAGCAGAAAAGTTAGAAATGACAATGAAAAAGGTTATCCTCCCAAAGCTAATTTAGCTAAAGGAGATGAAATTATTGCAGTTGTCATTTCTCAGGTAAATCTTGTGGCACATGTAAAAGAAGACTCTGGGGCTACTCAGCACATCTGTGCAAATCGTGAAGCATATGCCTCCTATATACCATAGGAGATGACAGTGAAGTAGTCTACCTTGGAGATTCAAGAACTGCTAAAGTCATGGGTAAGGGTAAAGTGCTCCTGAAACTCACTCTGGGAAAAACTTTAACCCTTATGGATGTGCTACATGTTCCTACAATACGAGTAAATCTGATTTCTGTAGCTTTGCTAAATAAAGCTGGAATCAAAGTGATTTTTGAATCTGATAAGATTATATTAACGAAAAATAATGTGTTTGTGGGAAAAGGGCTATTGTAATCAGGGACTCTTTGTACTTAATGTTTTTAATAACAATGCATCTACTTCTGCTTACATGGTTGAGTCTATTTCCCTGTGGCATGATAGATTAGGACATGTTAATGTCTCATATATTAAGAACATACAGTCTCTTGGTTTAATACCTGATTTAGATTCGAACAATTTTGATAAATGTGAAATATGTGCTGAAGCTAAAATTACTAAAAGATCATGTTTTTCAGTAGATAGAAAAACTGGATTATTATCTTTGATCCACACTGATTTGGGTGATTTGAAACAGACTATGACTAGAGGTGGTAAAAGATATTTTGTGACTTTTATTGATGATTTTTTCAAATTTACTAAGTTGTATTTGCTTAGAAATAAGATCGATGATGCATTTGATGCTTTTATTGCTTATAAGTCTGAGGTTGAAAATTAACTTGGTAGGAAATCAAGAGAGTAAGATTTGATAGAGGTGAATAATATGTATCTTAAAATGTTTTGTGTGAAAAAGAAAGAATTATTCATGAAGTAACCCCTCCTTATTCACCTGAGTCTAATGGAGTAGCTGAAAGGAAAAATAGAACTTTAAAAGAAATGATGAATTTCATGTTAATTAGTTCTAATGCTTCTGATAATTTGTGGGGTGAAGCTATATTATCTGCATGTCACTTACAAAATAGAATTCCTCATAAAAGAACTGGTAGAACTCCTTATGAATTGTGGAAAGGTTATAGAGCTAACTTGAAATATTTTAAAGTGTGGGGTGCCTTGCTAAAGTTATGTTGCCTGATCCTAAGAAGAGAAAAATAGGTTCTAAAACTATTGATTGCATGCTTATTGGATATACTGAGCATAGTGTTGCATATAGATTTCTTGTTTTGAGAAGTGATGTGCTTGATTACAATACTATTAATGAGACAAAGAATGGTGAATTTTTTGAACATATCTTTTCACTGTATGATAAAAAATTTCATGCACCTGTTGAAAAAAATAATGAGAAATTCACTAATATTGAGGAACTGCGAAGGAGCAAAAGGCCTAGAAAAGAATATTTTTCTTATGGAAATGATTTTCAAACTTTTCTTGTTGACAATGAACCTTTAAATTATTTTGAAGCTATATCTTCTTCTGATGCTAAATTTTGGAAAGAGGCAATAAAAATTGAAATTGATTCAATTATGAAAAATAAAATATAGAATTTGACTAACTTACCTCCTGGTGCAAAGCCTATTGGCTGTAAATGAATTTTCAAAAAGAAACTTAATCCTGATGGATCTATAGATAAATATAAAGCTCAATTAGTAGCAAAAGGATTTTCTCAAAAACAAAATATTGATTATTTTGATACATTTGCACCAGTGACTAGAATTTCTTCTATTCGAATGTTAATTGCCTTAGCATCAATTCACAAGCTTTTTATTCACCAAATGGATGTAAAAACAGCTTTCTTAAATTGTGATTTAGAAAGAAGAAATTTATATGACTCAACCTGAGGGATGTATTAGTCCTGGACAAGAAAATAAAATTTGCAAATTAATTAAATCTCTTTATGGCTTAAAACAAGCTCCTAAACAGTAGCATGAAAAATTAGATGAAGTCTTATTGAAAGACAATTTTTCCTCTGTTGAAGTGGATAAATGTGTTTATACCAAAATTGTAGACAATGATTATGTGATAATATGCTTATATGTAGATGACATACTTATATTCGGTACAAGTTTAAATATTGTGAAAAGTACCAAATTAATTTTGTTTACTAATTTTGATATGAAAGATCTGGGTGAAGTAAGTATGGTCAAAATGTGATTGATAAAGTCTCTGATTTACAATTAGAATTATATGATTCATAGAAATATTATATTTCACCAGTAATTTTGTAAATTAAATTTTATCGATCTAAGTTTGGTTCATAGTCCAAAGAGACACCAAATCTATTACATTTTGTCCTGAAAATTCAGCAAGTTATATTTTTATAAAAATCTTTTGAAATAAGTGGGGGATTGTAGGCAAATCTTTTTATTTCAAAAGATTATTTTATTAAATGTATTTACAAAGCCAATTAATTAAATTGTTTTGAAATTGTTACTTGAAGAAATGGCAATTACTTTTATTAAGGCAAGAGTTTATTTCATCACTTACTTCCACATGCCACTTTGCATGTAAGTGCTTGGACAAGTGGCATGTGGTACCATTTCCCTTTTACCCTATAAATACTATTGCTTCTTCTTTAGAAAAGTAAGCAGAGAAAACATTCTGCTGTGTTCTCACTCTCTCGTTTCCTCTCTTTTTAATTGGGTTTATTTTAATTTATTAATGTTTATTTTATTATTCCTCTAATAACTTGCTGATGTCAATTAATTTGCTGATTTCTATATCCTCTATTTAAGATAGGGAAGTACTTGTTTAATTATGGGGAAACATTTTACACCGTTGAAATAGTTTCTTAGGACAGTGCCAAACACGACTCAAGTATTAATTTTATGCACTATTATTATTATTATATATATCATCGTAATAATTTTATCTTATTTTCAGGACTACCATTTTACTAAACAATAAAGTTATTTATTATTATTATTGTGATATTTAATTAATTTCCCCAACAGGGCTGGGTATGGGAAATAAAAATGGATCCATATTTAAAATTTTAATTTTAAAAAATGCATTTGTAAATAATTACTTAGTATAAATTAATTTTAAGAAGTGTTAAAGAAAAATTTGTGAAAATAATTAATAATAAAAAATTAATTAATGACGTGGTGCTGATATGGCTATGTTGTGGCACTTACATGGCTATGATGTGGCAAGTGAGAGTGGTATAATAATCTCAGAATGACTTTTAATTCACTTCAAAAATATTAAATGGTATTTAAACGTCTGTATAATTTAAGTACTAAAGTAAGTTATCCGACCAAGTTCAATTTTTTTTTTTATGCATTTTCTCAAAAATTTATGGTACATCATGTTATTTCACGTATTTAGGATCGATGCCATACTGGAATAATTATATTTTTAAAAAGTATTCTAAACTATTTATTTTTAAGTAAGCTTATGTCAATATGAGATAATTAATGCGATTGTAGCTTGACAGTTCGCCCGAACTGCGAAAAATCATAAATTCACATACATCATAAAGTACCTACTAAATTCACCGATATTTTTATTGTGATTTGAATATTTTTTAAATTCGCCGATATTTTTATTGTGATTTGAATATTTTTCCATTTTTTGAGTAAGGAGTATTAATAACAAACAGGACCAAACGAATATAGAATTTTTTATGGATAATGTTAAATTATCAGAAAATTAAAAAATCTATAATATTTTTTTTATTTTAAAGTAAACTAATTATTTCTTTTTAGTTAAAATATATTAAAGTTAAAAAGATAAAATGTTTAAAAAGGTAAAATAGCATAGATAAAATACGGCCAAAATGATTTTTCCATTTTTTATATAAGTAATGATTAAAAAGGCTAAAAGTGTGGAAACGTGTCAAAAACTAAAATAGCAGGCACCAATGCCTTCGCAAATCGCAATGGCGCAACTTTATTCGTTGAATTCAAATAAGGTGGCTGGTGTCCGTGTCTCTCCTATTTATATGTATTTCGTATACGAATTGGCAATACTCGGATAATCCAAAGCGCAAATCTCACACAAATCTGCAAAATCAAAAATATTTTTTTTTATCCAAAAGTAGGCAATGGAAACGGTTATGGAAGATGAAGAGTACAATTGGAGCGAAGTGAAGCTTCATTCTCTCATACCCGTAGTGCCGGAGCCGGAGCTCGACAGAGAAACCGGCGAACGGCGTCGCGGCCGTGATATAGTGATCGCTATAGATCATGGTCCTAACAGCAAACACGCTTTTGATTGGGCCGTTACACACCTTTGCCGTCTCGCCGATACGCTTCATCTCGTTCACGCCGTCTCCAGTAAGTTCGCATCCTTATGAATCTCCGTTTTAATCAATTGATCTTAACAACATTTGTTAATATACAGCTCTATTTGTTGCTAATTTTGTTTCAGGTCTGAAAAATGAGATTGTTTATGAGGCTACACAGGGACTCATTGAGAAGCTTGCTGTTGAGGCTTTTTCGGTTGCTATGGTTAGTCTTTCTATGTGGCTTTACAGTAATTATGTGCAGATGGCAAATGATTTCTGATTGAAGTATTAATTATCAGTGTTTGGATAATCTATTAAAATCTTCATTTACTCTGTATAATAATTAAAACATTAGTTTGATTTTCCAATTGGATTAATAAATCTTTTCGATTGTACCTTGGCCATTATCTAGTAATGTTTGTATTACTTATCATATATGATAAAAATGATTAGGATAATGCAATTAACAAAAGTGATTACCCTTGGCCATTCTCACAACTACATTCCTCAACCTGATTAATGTAAACATCAAAATTGATCTACTTCTCTCATAAACCGTGTTGTAATAACTAAGGCACCATTACATACCGCCAAAACATTTTCTGGAAAAAATGAACCACCTCACATTTGAACATTAAAGGTTCTCAAAAGATTAAAGAGACACCATTTTCCCTCGCAACATGGAAGATACATGCTGCAAAATTCTTGAAGATGAATATTTAAGGACCTTCCGTAATTGACATAAGAAACAATAGTTCCTTTGAATATTTAAGGACATTCAGTTGCTTGAATAAGGAATGTTTCATGTTAGGAAATATATATAACTGTTTATCAGAAGCGAACTTTAACATGTTTCATCACGATTTGATTTAGTGGTCTTCTTCTGAATGGGTTTTCATCTTGATTATTGCTTGAGAAGCTTTAGCTGCTCATATGTAGCTTTACTCTGCTGGAAAATACCATGATTCAAATGGTTTGATGGGTTTATTTAGCATGCATGCAGTGACGGAGCCAAATTTTTTAATTAGGGGGTTCAAAATCTGAAGAAATAGACACACGAAGTAGCCTAAGGGGGTTCAACATCTACTATATATACATAAAAAAATATTTTAACCATGTAAAAATAATATAATTTTCCGCCGAAGGGGGTCGGATGACCCCCCTAAAGATAGGGTGGCTCCGCCACTGCATGCATGTAAGTTTTCATAACTATATACCATGAATTAGGCTGCGTGTGAGAGTTGATTCTAGTCAGGTGCCCAACCTGTTACTCATTGTTTTGAGCTTATAAATAGACACACGAAGTAGCCTAAGGGGGTTCAACATCTACTATATATACATAAAAAAATATTTTAACCATGTAAAAATATATAATTTTCCGCCGAAGGGGGTCGGATGACCCCCTAAAGATAGGGTGGCTCCGCCACTGCATGCATGTAAGTTTTCATAACTATATACCATGAATTAGGCTGCGTGTGAGAGTTGATTCTAGTCAGGTGCCCAACCTGTTACTCATTGTTTTGAGCTTATAGCTAGTTTTTATTTTTATAAGTCTAGAATTTGATTAGCAGTCATAAGACATCATGTTCTAAAGCCTTATGTCCCTGACTGAGACGTGACCCTGAGGGGTTGAAGATTTTCAGAAATTTATCTAGTTGTTGCTTGAATGATACATGTGTCTTTAATTTTCTAATTATTTTTCTTAGTTATTTCACACATGATATGTCATTTCTTGCAAGTTTTAATTTGTTATGCAACAGTATCTTCATGAGTTTTCTCCATTTTTTTCGTTTATAGTTCTGTTGACAATTGAAATATGTGCAAGTTTGGTTTTGCTAGCACATTGGAAAATATTCTCATGGCATATGCAACATATGCACTTCCAGTTCTACTGTGGAGATATTTTTCTTGCCGATTTTCCACTAGATATATTTTTTTTCATTTTAAAGCCTTAAGGCCATGTAACAAGAAGACCTTTTTTCATCACAGAAGAATGTATTATAAACCCTGAGAGAAGTTTGCAATTGTTGGTTTTATTGAATTTGAACTTGGTTTCATTGAGTTTGACCACATGTAAACCAATAATCTCTGTAGTTCTGGTTTCATAGGTATAATTTCTAGAAGTTGATAACATAGTAAACTCAATTCTTTGGATTCATGTTGAAATAGGTGAAGACAGTGGCTAGGATTGTGGAAGGAGATGCTGGAAAGGTAATTTGCAAGGAAGCAGAAAGGTTGAAGCCTTCAGCTGTGGTTATGGGAACCAGGGGACGTGGCATAATCCAAAGGTGTCTATCTCTCTCTCACACACACACACACAAACACCTGTGTATGCATTGGTTACTAATTGGTTGTTAAGTCGATTACTGATTTTTCTGGTTAATTTCCCATTAGTGTACTGCAAGGAAGTGTCGCTGAGTATTGCTTACACAACTGTAAGATAGCACCGGTCATCATAGTTCCTGGAAAAGGTATAATGTTTACACAATTCTGTTCTTTAGTATTGGTTCGTATTTTCTTTTTTGAATATGAAGCGTAGCAAAAATCTAAACTAGTCTAAATTATTGCCAAAACAGAAGCTGGGGAAGTCTCTGTGATTTAATGGAGCTTTCAAAGTTTGAGGAACTTACTCTGAATTGATGTCCATCCAAGTAATGCTGATTAGGATGATATAGTGGCAGCAGCTGTATTACTAGTGGCAGGTTCTTCCTTTATAATGTCCGTGCTTATATAAAAAGCTTATGCTATCATTGATGTAAAGTATTTTTATCTGGTTTTAAATTGTGCTTATTTTATGTCTTCAGTATTTAAGTTTGTTTATAATACCAATTTATATTGTGAATAGTTGCTGATAGCAGTGAAAAAACTCATCTATATACACATTGGATAATGTTCCTAAGAGATTGATGACTTACCATTTGTGCTGGAATACTTTAACAATTTCTGTCATGAAGATGTAAGACATCACTTATAGACCCAAGAATCATATAAGCAGGAAAAGCATAATTCAAGATCTATCTGCTTAGCTCCATTAGAAGGATTCTGAACTAAATATACTAATTTAGATATCCCGCTCGTTCTTATTCAACTTAATCATTGTACTCCACCTCTATTCTATGGGTATTTTTATAGTCTTAAAAATGACATTTAACAGCCAAATCAGCCATTCCAGACCTGCCTTGCCTGTGTTCTTTCAAAACTCCACCAAAATCATGTCTAGTCCAATCACTTTTCCCCTGCTCATACTATGAATAGCACCCTTAACCTCCTCAACTTTAATACTTCTACAGTACCCAATATATCGATGTCTCTCGAAGTGCTCCTAATTACCAAGCACAATGTTCCTGTCCTCTTCTTCATTCAAGAGTTTGTGTAAGTATGTCTGTCATCTCCAAGTATGTCTGTCATCTCCGTCTAATGAGTGCCTCTTATGTTCATAGATTCTAGAGGGATTCTTTAAGAAGTTGAGAGCTGGGGAAAGGGCATAAACATAAATGTTATGTAAAATTGTTGGTTCAAGTGTGCTGTACTATACACCAGAAATTATGAGAACCATCTTAGAGTTTTAGGAAACAATGATTCTATTCCAAAAATAGCAGATTCTATAACAACATTCTGCCTTTTCGAAGACAGAGCACTCGTGGCACACACTTGGCCCTTTGCGAAGATTTTAAGATAAATTGATACTACCTAGGAAGAACCACAAACCAAAAGCTAGCTATTGAGATGGGATAGCCCGAGGCTATATAAAGCTCACATTAGCACATTGCAATACAGATGGGGGACTCAAGTCCCATTCCTTACAATGGACCAGAATAAACTACAACATTCTGCATTCGTCGTCCTCGACGGCTCTACACTTTCACTCTACCACAAGTAAATAGCTCTTTCCAAGGTAGCCATTTTTTAGTCAGGTGTCCAAGAACCTGCCACTAGCTGTGCGCTAGATGCTTCTAGCCCCGAGTGGACATTGCAATACTGGTGTCAACATCCATGGCACGGTGGGTGGTGACTGGCTCCTGATAATGTTGATACAATCTTGGGAGAACCACACCCCAAAAGCTAGTTATTAAGGTGGTAGAGCCCAAGGCGGTATAAATCCCACATCAACATATCGTAGCCTTAGTGGGTCCTGAAAGATAACAAGTAAAACCATCTTTCAGCATCTATTCCGGCAAGAAGAATCCAGTAGATTTTGTCTGCAGAAGAGGCCAGGTCCCCCTTGTTCACTGAAAGTGAAGGTAAGCAATTGTTTTAGAACAAAGAAATAATGGCGAAAGGCACAAGATGACATATACTAGGCCCAATAGTGTGCTGCCTGGTCTCGGATGAATGCCTCTGATTTGCTCTGAACCATCAAAAATGAAAAGATACCCTCCTGAACATAATGGACTATATTCCATTATGCTGAATGAGAGATTAAAAACAACAACAAGGTCTTGCAACCCCCCTCCCTTCAACCAAAAAAAGAAGGAAGATGCAAGCACGAAAAAAGAATATAGAGAAAAAGAAACTCCCTCACTGGTGGAGTGGAGTAATGAGTTAGATTACATGACAAGCAGTCACTACTTCTAGTTTGCTTAATGATAATCCACAGGAATCCATTCTTTTTGTATTCAAAGCCACCAATATGGCATCTCCATGTATCTCATCAGTGGAACTTGGATATGATTTTGAATATCTTTCAATCCCTTGTATAAACCACATAAACTACTTATTTCTTTGTCCAATCGATTAAAACAATATTTGACAGACTGATGTGAAATATAATGATGCTCTAACTACAAAGTGCATTTTAATTCTGTGATATTAGCATGAGCTGCCATATGATTAGTGACTAATTTTTTATTTTTTTTTATAATAGAGAAGGAATTAATCCTAATAACTAGTGGTTCAGATGTCTCAATATCACCAATTATTTTGAAAGAGAAAAAAAAAAGCCTTTTTTCTCTAGGTCTTTATCGACACGTCTTATTCTGTCCCAAAAGCAACTAGGGTAGCCACTATGGTATTTTTTTGGCTCCCTTTCAGTATAGTCATGGAGATGGAGTGCTCAACATTTCCATTCAGGTAATAGTCAAAAGAGTAACAGCTTGTGCCACTTGATGAGTATGACCCTTAATAATCAGTGTTTGCAATTTTTATGCTTATCATAGAGCTATAATCGACTCTCTTAGTTAAGAATTCTGGAAGAGGATAATTTGTACCTACAACTGACACGAAAGTAGAAAATAATATAATCATAAGCAGTTTTGATTGATTACAAACGTAAGGTACAATACTACTATAACGACAACTACTTCTTAGTGTCAAATAAGATGGGGTCTAGTTGGTTATATGAACACTGACCAATTAGGTATCATAAATGACAGTAAATAGATAAATATGGATATCTTACGAAGTACTACACAATTTATTTAGAGTAATAGAATAAATAATTAAGCTATTGGTCTGGTTGAGAGATTTCAGCTGATTTATGTTGCAACCTAGTGATAACTTCATGTCCAAACAAATTATTTCTGAGATTCAAATTTAGCGCTCGACACTAGTCCTCAGGGATTTCTTGGTTATGAAAAAAATGAACAAATTTTGCACTTCTGTTCTGATGCAGTTTCTTTCTTTTACATCTCCAGGAGTTGATTTTGTGTGCCTCTATATATATATAGATGGAAATTAGATTTATGTATATATAATTTTCTAAAAATTTATTTTCTTTTCTAGCTTCTTTATACTAGTGGCATGATTGGCTGCAATTGTGTTTTGATTAACTGTTATAGAGAAAGATATGATTTCCAATGAACAGTGTCATAGTATTGCTTTGATACTCTTGAACTGCAACATTTACATACAGAATATACTATGTTATGTACTTGCAAAAAAAGAATCAGGATTCATGACATCTGAGGTGAAGTCATTCAAGGATCTTGAATGACTAGAATTGTAAGGTCACATTTCCATCTTCAGGTCATGTCCAGCTTCAGCGAAACCTGCACAGTGATCATTTTTTTTTAACTTCAATACTTGAACAAAAGCCTACTGCGATTATTCTGGTGTTAAATTTCAGATTAGTGATAGATAGGGCCATAGGTTCCTCCAAGTATGGACAAAGGTTCAAATTTCAGTATAGGCAGAAAGAACACTAAGTGATTTCTTTCAATATGCGTACGGCTTGTTGGGTAGTAATTACCCGATACGTGGGTGATAGTAGTTGGTGGATACTCGTGGAATAGTTGAAGAACACGCTAATTGCCCAGACACAACTGTTATAAAAAAAAAAAGAAGGAAAAATAGGGCCCTCCAAAGACTCGAAATCTTAATAATGTAGTTGAATAATAGCTGTTCATTTTTGTTGGATGGTTAGTACCTGCCTATCAATCAACTACTTTGGGGAATTTTTCGCCGTGCAAAAGTAACACAGTTTTGATCATTTAAGGTGGAAGACAGAAATAAAGGGAAGATACCTAATCAGCAACCTTTTTCAACAGGAGTTTAAATCAAAGAGGACCCAACTATTCTCGAAGCAATATGATAGGTTCTGGGGCTCTAACATGGAAAGTAACACCCACCTTAATTGATTTTTTATCTTCTTTTTGGTGAAGTATCATAAGACAGGATAGAAATATTGACTAGACATGTCACTTGTGCATACCTGTACACGGATGGGGAAAAAACTGTGCTGATCTTCCTTGTTGAAGCTCCATTGCATACATGTTATCTAAATCAGTGTCCCAAGTTTGAAAGCTCTGAACTTGCTGTATGTCGAATGAAACTTTTGTTTAGCAAATTGAAAGAGAAAAAAAAGGATATTAACTGTTTATTGACTAAGATTGGTTCAATTAATTACATTGATACTGGATGAGTCAAGAAACATTTCAGGAATTGGTACAGGAGCACTAGTGGTTCTACGTAGTGCCAGTTCGTTTAGATTTAGAATATCCATTTCTAATCCAGAACTTGACATTATTTGCTGCAATGAATTGAACTGGCGTTGGGCCATACTAAGCATTTCAGATGATGTTCCAGCTCCCACTGTGGAAAAGGTAGATGTGCTAGTTGCAAATATCTGGAGAAATAAATGTGAAGTAAGAACATAATTTTATTCTGAAGAACGAAATAATTTCTTGATATGATGTTCCCTTACATCTTTGTTGAAGAAATTGTCTACGTCGATATCAAGCCTTGGATTAACAGCAGCTAGTTTCATGGATAGGAACTGTCATGATAATGAATCGTCAAATCTTGAATCTCAATCATAATTTTTCTAGCAACAACATCAAATACATAAAGGACTATTGTTTTTTGATTTTTTTTTTTACCTCTACTTGTCTTTGGAGAGATTGGACGTAGTTGATTATTTCATCTAGCATTCCTGCTTTCCCTGTTATCTTGTTACAACCTGGTACTAAATCTTGCAGAAATCTCATTCTCTCACTTATCTTTTCCCTTCTTACCTGCCAAAAATATGAATTAACTTGCTGGTTAAGTTGTTCGTTAGAGTAAAATATTACTGATGATTAGTAAAAAAACACTTTGACCGAATTTGCAACTCACTCTTTCAGCCAAACTGTGGCTATCAGTGGCTTGACCTCGACGTGCTCTGACATGGATATAGTCGAGCTTTTTATCATCGGTAATTTTGGACTTCTCCTTTGAAGTATCAGAATTTTCCTTACCGTTGGTACTGTTATTGGAGCTCCTTTTGTTGCTTTTTTTCTCTGTTGTTACCTTGGAAGAATCATCCCCCTCTTCGATGCATTCTTTCAATTTCTTGTCTTTGGTTTCCTCTTCTGCAACCTCCTGAAAAATGTCCACCAATTATAGCTTACAGGACTGTTGAATTGTGTGAACAACTGGAACAAACGATAAATCTAATTGCATATTTTGAATTACGTAATTATATTATATATCAACACGTGAGATGTGGATCTGATTCTTTATATGAAAGTAGTTTTTTTCTTTTTGGGTGGATGTGTTGACTATTCTAATATCTTAGTTGAGTTGTGTGACTATCTATCTATCTAAAAAACTCTTTTTGAATAAGCAGGCGTTTAATTACTTAACTATATTATGCCTCAACCACACCGAAATGCAGGGCTTAAACATAGGCGGGATAGAGAAACAGTTCAGTTGGAGTTGAACATACCTTGAGATGTTGATTCTTATCTGCTTTCCTTTTCTTGAAGTTCTCACTGCCTCTGTTAGAACGCATAGTCTCTTTGGGTTTAACAGCAGAAACAGCATTGTCCGCCATGGTAGGCGGGCAACTTGTAGTTCTTGAAATAGCATAATTCATTTCAGTTGGGTGTGACATTCCTCCGTGTCCAACTCCAACTGGAACATAACCAAAACCATTATTATCAGTGGTCCCAAAATCACCCCAATTGTTCTCCATACAGGGGTCTGGCTTAATTGCCCGAGTCACAAGCTCATTAAGACTCTGATCATTTACATTGATCAGCCCATGAAATTGTTGAGCTTCAGACGTTTGATGAAAAGAACTCATCAGTTGATCATTTTGTCCATTAAAATAACTCATCTCTTGTTGCTGCACCTGTTCTTGATGCCATTTCAGTCTAGCTCGTTGTCGTTCAAGCACATTGCTTCCATTTCCTCCATTGCTGGTGGTGTTGTTATGTAGCATTTCTGGTAAAGCAATATTCATCAATAATAGAGATCCTTTTTTCAGAAAGAGTTAAGAGAAGAAAAAGCTGCTACTTGTCCTTTGTTTTACTTTGCGGAAAGTAACAAAGGCGATTCAAAATTGTAGTAGAAAAAAATATTAGGTAGCTTCCTAACGCGTTCCTTGTTTTTTACGTCCTCTTGAACCAACTCCCTCTTTATTTCTCTTCAAGTACTATTTAGAATAGAAGAAATTGTGTTCTTCTATCTTCCTTTTTCTGTTATTGTGTGTGAGAGAAAGAATAGAGTAGAATGCGTGAAGCTTAGAGGTATTAGGAAAGTGGGGTTTATATAAGTATGACAAAAAGAGGAGAGGGTAGAAAATATGAGAGAGGGAAATGCGAAATTGTATTTACTTTCTTTTGATTTAACTGCATACGAAATACTTTATATAAAGAGAAAACATGTTATGATATTTTACGGCTATAACGTCATATATTAATGGAAACCGTGTTTCTGACATAAATAATAAATAAATACATTTTAATTTAGCTCGACTTTTTACTGGGGCAGGGGTCATGGAACGTAACCATACCAAAGTGGGCCCGGGTAGACATGACTAACCACGTGAGACTGTCCCGCGAGAAGGTAAAGTTTGAGAGAGCTTTTTTGGGCCTGAAAATGAGAAATACAATTGGATCTCCCACTGATACGTGTCAATCAATGGGCCCGTCAAAGGTGACATGTCAGAAGAATGACGTGGACACAAGCCTAATACTCCCTCCGTCATATTTTATGTCACTTTTTTACTTTGCACTTGCATTAAGAAATGATGTAATTTTATCTTTTTACCCTTAATTTTTTCTTAAGTCAACTTTATCAATAAATGACAAGATTAATTAACAATTCTATTAAGGGTATAATAGGTAAAATATGATAATTTATGCATAAATTTTATAAAATGACAAGTATTGTGGTCCAGCTATTTATAAAAAGAGATGACTGAGTAAAAAAAAGCGGATAACGGGGTTCTCAGAATTCTGTGCGATTGGTGTTTGGTACCTGAAAGTTAGTGAAATACTCTCTCTTGCTTTTATATGATGATCGTGCATCAAACGATTGTTTATTATTGGAGCGAAGCAGTGAGAGCATTATGATGGATCATTTTAATTAAATACCGTAACAGCAGAATCTCAGATATTACGGGGTTGTCACTTGCTAAAAATAGAATTCCGTTCGGTTTAACTTATTTTTATAGTTAATTATTATTTCCCAAAAGAGGAAAAACAATTACACAAATTTTGAAATAGAATTTGAAGTAAGCAACACTAGAAGGTATTAAAAATAATTTGAAGTAAGCAACTCTAGAAGGCAACCTTCTTTTTCCTTCTTACGAACCACCCTAGATGTGCGGAGCTCGTTTCTCTTTCTCCTCTTTTTGGGTAAAGCACACATAAAAAAGAGTTGGGTCATCAAAAGTTTGATTCTAGAACGAAAGGAATGTATAACTAGGGCAAATCCCCACTTTCTTATTCGTAATGAGGGGGAAAACTTTAATTAGATATTTTTATTATAATTTGGATTGCAACTTCTTAGTTGAACAATTTAGACTAGTTTGGAGGTAAGTTATGAAGGGGTAGTTTGGTAGCTGATTTGGAAGTGAGTTATGCTGGTACTAAATCTTATGTAAATAATATCATGTTTGGTAGTTGATAAAGGAAGTAAGTTATTTATGTATCAAATTAAGAAGTTGCTTGATTTGCAATTTAGAAATCACATAACTAATACAAGTAGTATAAGTTACGAGGAAATCTATTTATGCATGACAACTAATACATAAATATATCTAAACACCGCATAAATAATATATAAATTCTAAAGAAAATATTATTGCATTTAAGCTTGAGAGAGCCTTGCTTAATCCCACAGGCCACAAGATTTGATGATATGTGTGATTACCAAATTAGATAGTCACGGGTGATTCATTAATAATAATTGAGTATTTAGTAGGTCATTATAATTAATCAAAAACAAAAGTTTCCAAAAAGGTAGTAATAGATAACATAATATAAGAATTAATTTGGATAGTGTGATGGAGGACCACTACAAAAGTTTTTTTTTTTTGGGGGGGTGGGGTTGGGTTGGGGTGCGGCCTTTGGCAGATTTTCTATTGCTATCACTATCAAGAGACAACATAATCGAGGAAAGATTTGGTTTCATTTTCATTTAGCTTTCTATGAATTTTGTGACCACTGCTTTCCCTTTAATTAATATCCTAATTTTTCTTTCACAATTAGTAATTGTATCTTGTTTTTTAAGTAATTATTTCATGTGAGGTTTATTTGATCAAATATTTTCTGTTAGTGTTTAGTACCATTAACTAACAAACAGTTGGGTCAACTATGGCTGCAAATGTTAAATCATGTTAGCTAGCTAGCAATGCGTTTATTTCAGCAAAAGAGACTAATCAATAACCTCTACTTGCTGTTGATATCACAACATCACTATATGTGTGGACATCAAGTGGTATATTTTCCTTCAAAATAAGTTATTGGTTAAGATATGCTACTTAATTAATTAGCATATTTATTATTTGCTAATAATTACTAGCTTCATATTTATAATTTGGAAAGCACTCGAAGCTTCTCTCGGATTATCAAAAGATGCTATTCGATAATATTCCTTACTAACCCTAAGAACTTGTCAGTTTATATTTTGTCTAAGAATGATGGATCAAGCACACCACACCAGTGTGAGTCTATTTTAATAAGTTAGGAAAGTTGTTAAAGGATGAAGAATCCACTACGGGAAGAAAAAAGGGGATTAGTGACAGATTAGCTAAAGATTATTAACAAATTTTATGTGTTTCTAGTAGTGGTCAATTAATTATGAGAAACTGACAGAAAGAGAAAGAAAAAAGTGGGATTATTTTAATAAGTTAGGAAAATTATCTTGGAAATCATAATAAGATTGGTCTCTTGTCAAAATTATTGTTTGACTACAACGCTACGTACATGTGCTTTTGTTGTTAACCATCTATGGACCATGTATCAACTTAATATAAACAGCAAGCATATGATTAAAAACTTGATAAATCACCAAGTTTGCAGACTTAAAATTAAAGTTATTGATCCTTATCTTTAATAGTAAAAAGCAAATCATTTAGAAAGGTGCGTAGAGGATATAGTGGTACCCCCATGTATATATTGGTTGAATTAATATTAGTCCAGAGAGGATGAAGGCTACTACCATTATCCTCAAATGGCCACTACTGGGCCACACTTCTATTCTAAAAGCCACAAACTTACTTCGGGATAGTTAGAATTCATCGATCCTTAATTAGAAGTCTTTGTATTAAGTTTTTTACGTTATAAAAACGACCTCTTCTCTTTTATTTTTATTATATTTTACGTAGCACAAATTTAAAATAATCGGATCAGTGATTTTGACTATTTTTTTTTCTCTTACACACAGACCTTACACCAAAATCAATAAGAGGAATGGGGCCATTCTGTGTGTCTTCCTCAATCTCTATTCTTCTATCGTTTTCTATTGTGGGCTAAATTAACGGAAAACTACCGCCTTCTACCACTAGCACATATATCCCCAACCTATATACCAATTTATTTAATTATTACTACTTGTTATTCGATATTATTAATTCTTCCACCCCACCCTCCACAACCCACACCCTGCCCCCTTCGTATTCTTGAATATATTTTTTATATATTGATAAACAAGACCACGTACAATGTACCACCACACAGTAATGCTTTTGTTTTCATGCACCATTTGTCCATGTGAAAACATGGGTAAGATATGTTATTGGAAACACAAAAAGAAAAGAAAGAAAAATCTTTAAACGAAGTAAAAGAAAAACACAATCTATCATTAGCTAAGAAAAGTAGTAGATAAAAGAGGTTGTCATCATATCAAGAAAGAAATAAGATAATACGGCAGAAGTGAAGTTAGAATTCAAGTTCACATTAGATAGCATTATATAATAGTCTCGATCAAAACTACGAACATATTTGTATTAGGAATCTATTGAACATGTACAAATAATTTATACAGAACTAAGTAAGCTAAAGATAATTTAAAATTCATAAACATAAAATTTTAAAATGTTTGTTTATATATTATAAAATACTAATAAAAATGAAAATGAGCCCTTGAGGTTTAGAAGAGGCTAATGAAGTCAATTATAAGGGCTAGCTGACAGCTCCAGACTTCTATGTGCATGACATATAATTTCTATTTCATATATTATAATTATTTATATTATATAGAAAAGCAGCACACAGAAGAGAAATAAATAATTGATAATATATAGAATTAGGTAGGTGTATTTATAAAACCTCTTATCATATCTTGCATTCGATTGGGGATGAAATGATGAAAGAAATGGGTATAACGTATGGTAACATATTAATGGGCTAACCAGATATGAGATATGGGTACTCAGAAATATTGCAGCAGATCCGAGGTTTCCTAGGAAACCATAGTAACTAATTAAGAGTCTAGAGACTACTATCAAGGATGTGGTGCAAATGAGCCCGCTCCTTCCTGGTCTCGGGTTTGAGTTTTGGGTATAGAAAAATCTTTGACGGGAGCACTTAGCTTCGAGTAGGCCTATACGTAGCACAAATTCAAAATAATCGAGCTTCAATATAGATATTGAACACCTAGTGGAAAATCAAAATTTAATATATTGCAAGACGGAATTTAAGAATTAGAAGTATTTTGACCTTAATAACGATTGTTTGGTTAATTTATCAAATATAAGTAGCAATAATTTACTTAAGAAAATACTATCAATATAGCTCCAAGCAAATAGATACAAATTAAAGCAAAACAGATAAAAATTAAACTCTCGTAATGTTTTTAAATTCTCGATAATTTGGGTATATATAGGGCATATGTTTGCTCTGGGTAATTTTCCCTATTTCATACTCCCTCCGATCCATTGTAGTTATTATCTTTACTAAAAATAGATGTTCAAAACTAATTATTGTCTTAAAAAATCAAGATATAATTAACTAATTAATTAGTATTCACCTTTTAATATGGTGAAAAAGAGAGTAACACTAAATAAAGATTAAAAATAAATAAAGATAATTTAGTTAAACTACTTTTTTTTGTTAATATTTCTAAGTGGTGTGCCCAAAAAAAAAAAATAACATGTAAAATGAACAGCAGGAAGTATATATTAGAAATTTTTACTAAATAGTATATATAATAGTTTATAGTGTATTATTTATTTTTATTTTTGTTTATAGAGCATTATGTTTGAGAATTTAAATAATAGTTGAA